TCTTTGTCCAAAATCTTTTGTCAAAAAAGCAAATACTTTGAAAACATTTTAAACATCTGGCACAGCTAAGGCATTGGCAATAAAAACGCCTGTCAAACTTTGCCACGCAACAGACGCATTCTTCAATTCTCAAGAATATCACCAAAGTCGTGTTGCCTTGTAATTTGATAGCTAAACCATCTGACACAGCTAAGACACTGATTATATAACACATGCCAAACTTTCCCACGCCAAAGACATATTCTTTGGTTCTCAAGAATATCAAATGACACCAAGGTGCTTGACTTTTATTTTGATGATTAAAACATATGTCACAACTAAAAGACTGGTGTTAATTAAACATAGTCACCAAATTGCCTTTACAGAAGACATTTTCTTTAGTTCTCAAAGATATTAAATTACATGGTGCTAAAACATGTCATAACTCCATACAAGATAACAGTGACCACCGCTATAATATATAAATCGAATCTAAAATACTGTGTAACGAAAATAAAACCCATTTATATAAAGAACATATTTCGGTCATGGAAACTTGGTCATACTATTTTCATAATTCAAATATTGGAACAGATTCATCATACCACCACATTTTATTAAAACCTTTCATTAAATATAAAACTATCAACAGATAAAATATTGTTCAAATTTCAAACATTTGACTACAGAAGCAAACTTTCCATCAAATTAAAAAAAATATATCTACAAATAATCGGTAAATGATTTCAACAAATTAAAATAAATCATATGTACATCACTTATTGAAAAAAACAACAACTAATGAATGAAAAATCTATAAGGATAGAGGGGATTCCTTTGATACACAAGTTTGAAAAATGGTAAGAAGGTCTTATGGAATCGTGGTTATATACCACAGAAACAAAGTCATTTACATATACGGTTCAGACGGCATAAAGGTCATCTAACAGAACCAATGCGGGAGTGTATGTCACAAATTATTTGCATGTTCGGTGAATTTCCATTTCAAGACCTAGAAAACCAATGACAATTGTGTATTTCGCAAGTCATTTGCATTTTAGATGAATTCAGGTCAATGGAAAAGTTTACAAAAGTTCATAGACATATTTTAAATAGTTCCAGATTAAGTTTTAGTATATCGGTCCAAAGGTCACCCACCACGCGAAAGACTGAAAGATTGGCATTGAACAAAGGAATGGTGCTTCGTCATCAGCTTTTAAATAAGCCGTTCCTTTTTTTAAACAGATAACAGTGTCACATCTGTATGTAACACACATATATGTGGATGGAATGTTTTACAGCAAGATATTATGTTTTATCTAGTTTAAAATCAAAAGCCATCGGTTAGAACATCTGTTAAGTACATTATCTAGTGTTAGCCGTCAGTTTGTTTTAAAAGAGGTCACCTCTTATATTTTTTGTTAAATATATTTCAAAGGCTAAAATAAAAAAAAATAAAAATCTTACTGAGGTATGTCGGTTTTAACTAACCTTAATCAATATAAAACAATATAATTAATTCGCATATTAATTATTACGTTAATTACTACAATTATCTGGTCATTTTTTTAAAAAAAAAACATTTTCTTACGCGTCAACAGGATAGAGATTGTAATTTTTTAACAACTCGGCAAAAAAAAAAAAAAAAAAAAAAAAAAAAAAAAACTGGCCTAGAAGGAATATAGAGGTTATTGGCATATTTAAAAAGGTCCATTGCATTTTTTAGAATATCGGTCGAAATTTCACCTACTACCCCGAGAAACATAGGTTAAATACATAATATAATATTAATATTATTAACCTGGTTTTTAATAAACAAACCAATTTTATTTTTCTTAAATATATTTCAAATGCTAAAATAAAAACATTTAAGTACGTTAGGGTTAGACTAACCCGAATTAATATAAAACAATTAATATACTAATTAACATATTAATTAATACGATAATGACTACATTTATCATTTTAAAACATTTCTCATACCTTAACGATGTACAGCTTGTATTTATTTAAACAAGTACACGAGTTTAATTAACCGCAATTAATATAAACAATTAATACACCAATTAAAATATTACTTAATACTACTTTTACTTTTAAAACATTTTGTCATCTGTTAACGACATACAGCTTGTAATCTTTTAACAAGTACGTGAGTTTAATTAACCTCGATTAATATAAAACAATTAATATACCAATTTGCATATTAATTAATACGTTAATTACTACAATTATCTGGTCATATTTGTTTTTTTAAAGCCATTTTCTTACGCGTTAACAGCATACAGCTTACAGTTTTAACAACTCGGCAAAAAAAAAACTGGCATAGAAGGAATATAGGTTATTGGCTTATTTAAAAAGGTTCATGGCATTTTTTAGAATATCGGCCAAAAGTTCACCTACTACCCCGAAAAACATCTGTTAAAACATCTTTTAAATACATAATGTAATATTAACCTGGTTTTTAAAGAAGTAACCACTTTTATTTTTCTTAAATATATTTCAAATGCTAAAATAAAAACATTTAAGTACGTTAGGGTTAGACTAACCTTAATTAATATAAAACAATTAATATACAAATTAACATATTAATTAATGCGATAATGCCTACAATTATCATTTTAAAACATTTCTCATACCTTAACGATTTACAGCTTGTATTTATTTAAACAAGTACACGAGTTTGATTAACCTCAATTAATATAAACAATTAATATACTAATTAATATATTACTTAATACTACAAATGACTACAATTATTTGATTGGTGACATCTGAGAATATTCAAGTTCCAAAATATTAATCTAGTCCCTATTAGTCAGTATGGGCGTTAAAACTCGTTTCATTTCTCTTATTTAAAACCAAATTTTCGTCGTGAAATTCAAAAGATCAAATTGAGAACTACCACCAGACCAGTAAATAATTTCACCAAATTTAAGTAAATAAAAATAAATTTAAAAAAAAAAATAATGAAAAAAAAAGAATTAATGAAAAAAAAAAGAATTAATGAAAAAAAAAAAAGAATTAATGAGAAAAAAAATTAATTAATGAAAAGAAATTAATTAATAAAAAAAAAATAATGAAAAAATAATTGAATTATGAATAATTAATGAAAAGAAATTAATTAATAAAAAAAAATAATGAAAAAAATAATTGAATTATGAATAATTCATGAAAAGGAATTCATAAAAAAGAATTCATGAAAAGGAATTCATAAAAAAGAATTCATGAAAAAAAAAAGTAATTAGATTATAAATAATCAACTAAATGAGGAAATAACAAGACTAAATGAACAAATACAATTAACAAATACAATCAACAAATACAATAAACAAATACAATTAACAAATACAATTAACCATACAATTGACGGGAATGTCTTTTAGGATATGTTTTGGTCTTTGGGTTGAAGCGACGACGAAAAAGACGTTGGGGCGTGGCGAGGCGGAGCCCATGCGCGGTACAAATAAAACATTTTGTTTCACACCACCAATAATATATTGAATAAAAAGATGATCAGAGCGTCCGCGGGCGGGCTGAGCGGGCGCGGGCGGACGCGGGCGGGCTGGACTGGGTGGGCGGGCGTCGCGCGGGTTCGAGGTGAACTACGCACGCTCATTACGGTGACCCCCACCCCCATCCACAATTCAAATTTAAACTCACAACTTCATATTACCTAGTTGCCACGGGTTTCCATCGGCACTACAATTAACCGTTAACACCCACCCCTTTAAAAAAAAGGCGGACAACATTACAAACACACACACCCAACAATTCAAATTTAAACGGACAAGGTGTTCATATTACGTCATTGTCACGTGATTCTATCGTAACTAGGGTCAACAACCACGCCCATAAGACGTTGCTAAGGTAAACAAAACAGGGGAAGATAACCCCTACCGGAAATACCCCTTTAAGTACGGTATTTTACTACTGTAGTTATATCCATATATACCTTGTGTTGTGTTTTGTTTTAATAAACAACTGTTCTTGTCATAGCACCATATCTCAACATAGGCTATACGTTTGTAAAAAAGCACAAAATTTATATATTTGTGCTTTTTTACAAACGTAATATATTTATAAAAAAACAAGTGTATCATAATCGTTAAAATAAATATAATATCATTTTGTCTTTTATACTTTAAAAGACAAAGTCAGTTTGTCTATAATCTCTACTCGATCGATCTCTTTAATTTCTGAAGGATGTAGTGCTCTTTGTTCGGGTCAACCAGATAAGTAACCTCATCGGTATTTAATAAATAAATAAATAAATAAATAAATGACACCATCAACCTACTAGATGTAAATAGATGCAACTTTATTGATATACCTTCACTACAATAAAATAATAATAATAAAAAGAAACCAACACTTCTCGGGATTAATACTGTTTACGATATTATCCACATCAGTTTATTTGTCAATTCTCTATAATGGCATATTCTTCATTTATTTATTCTTATTTAGGGTCCTCGTAATACTACGCTTACTTAACTAATCTGGACTGTCGGAATAGTGGATTTTATTTCGGGTTTGAGGGATTTTTATTTAAGATTCAAAAACAACCCGGGGCGTGGAATGATCATTTGGAAAATTAAAATTTAACCGTTTTAAGAAAATTGTTTCGTATCGCTCGGCTCGGCTAGTCGTTTATAAATCTAAACATACATGTACAATGTGCTTTTATATACTAACTTGGCTTGACCTGTTGCATATATGCATTATTAGCTTACTACAGATTTGTCAATATATTATATTATATAAAATCTTATAAAATCTCACAAGGCATATTAATCAACATGTCCTTTATTATATAAAAACGTAGTAGTATATTTGTATATATCAAGATTCAAAGAGCTAGAAAGTTTTATTTGGCATATCGGTAAGAAAGCAAGACTGTGCCCTCACCTCCACACAATCATGATATCTCGACTCCACTGTATTATGTCACGTGCCGGATGTGGTGTCAAAACACTAGGTTAAATAATCTTTGATTCAATATTTCAGGTTGAATCAAAATGGACGCGGAGGAGTTCAGAAAGAAAGGTAAAGAAATGGTAGACTATATAGCTGATTATTTGAGTTCCATTGACAAAAGACGACCACTGGCAGACGTGGAACCAGGCTATATCAAGGAACTAGTTAGAAACGAGGCACCAATAGAACCCGATTCCTGGGAAGATCTGATGAAGGATATTGAACCAATTATAATGAAAGGGGTAATCTACCAACAACGTTACCTCTATTTCAGACAATATTAAGTCATAACCTAGAGTATGAGAGGCGTTGTGGCTCAGTGAATAAGAATCAGGCTACCTGACCAGCCGGTCCGGGTTTCGATCCCGGTAATGTCCAGGGTGGTTTCCGTCTTTTTGGTGGGACGGAAAACTGAGGTCCCGCGTGTAGGCTACACCTTGTCAATTGCTGTATGGGCAAATAGTCCCTCACCAGACACTGCATGGCGTATGAACGTCTTTATTAGCTCAATCGGTGCAGAAAAGTAGGACTCTAAACCCGATTTCATTATTCCATTAAGTGTTGTTGAAAGCTTTTTAAAAGCACATTATTATCAAGTTATCGTGATTGACATGAGAAATAATATTATGCATAGTCATCTGTTTGCATAATCCCGTTTTTTCTGTCAAGGTTATCTGCAGTACATATATTAAAGTCTATAATACATGTCAATTTCAACTTTTAAAGCTATATTCGTTTTTAATTTTTGTTTGAGACAACACATTGGCACAGCCCACATTTTCACGCATATTTTCCGTCAGGAAATTCTTTTCCTGGTATACTGGGTGATATGTTGAGTGATGCTATAGGATGTATAGGATTTTCATGGGTAAGAAATTTTACATGATGATATTTTCTTTGAAATGTCAGTCCATAAATAGCAAGGGAACAGGATTCTTCAATTGAATCCAGGCTTTTAGCGAAACAAATCTTCGCAAACATTTTCAAACACAATTTATAGGTACTCCCGTAGGGTTGACATGTATACATTTGTTATATTCCTGCTATAACAGAACCCTTTTATCACCTTTTATCAAGAGGTCTTTTTTGGGGTCTTCACCTATATATGCCCTATGCAAATATAGAAATGAAATACCCCATACTACTGTCTTTATATCCTATGCAAATATAGAAAGTAAATACCCTATGTTACTTTCTTCAGATCCTTTAAAAGTATAGCAATAAAATAACCCTGAAATGTAGAAATGAAAGCCGCCACCCCTCTTTCATAATACCCTACCTCGTGTATTCAATTGAAAATAAACTCACCCAATCTTACAGACATACCAAAAGTAAATAGAATATTTGTTAATCTCAAACTGACATGAATGTCGACGACAAGTTAAGTTCCATTTCGTTACAAATTCAAAGGGGGGCGGAGCCATGGGATTTAACGTCCACTCGACACAAACTAGGTCATTTCGGGACTAACATGGTTAAACTTTATTTCACTAATTCTCTTGCACGTAGGGGTCTTTAGCAGTGGGAGGAAAAAGGAGGACCCGGAAAAACCCCACGAGGTTGGACAGGCGACCTTGTCATGTACAACCGGAGAATCGAAACCTCGCCAGTTGACTTAATGACAGACCTAATGACCCCCCCCCCCCAACTCCTCAATTCAAAGGATCTCTAATGAAAACATGTTATTGGTTTATAACATTGTTGTCATATATACATGGAAATCTCAACAAGATACCAGAAATTGGACGAGTAGATTTTAGAAAGTTTGGTTCATTTGTATTTGATAAAAATTAGTAGTCGCTATGCCCGTATTCTTTCCTTCAAATGATTAAATAAAGCACGAGAAATACAGACATAGCAGGCTTGTCAGACCTCATAATCCACCCGCTAGCTTTGAAATCGATGTCTTCAAAAATCGAACTAATTTTATTTGAAATTCCTGTATCGCATCCACATGCTTTTTAAAAGTTAACTCCCCAAAAAAAAACCCCACCATGTTTGGAACGAATGGAACTTAAACTCTTTGATTTGCGATCGAAAGGTCTTTATTTTTTACCTTATGAGGTACGCATTCAAAATTTGCAATTTTCGAAATTCGATAGCTCTTTTAGGGGAGACAACTTCAAAATGTACGGTCCTAATTTTCTGAATCCCAAGAGAGTTCTCCATTAGGCCCCAGTGATTAATCCAATCAAATTTTAATGGTGGATATTGATTGTACATTCTGTGGTTGCATAACATTTTCGGCAATATATTGGCAACTTGTTATTTCTAAAATTGCACATTTCTTGTGTAGTGTTCTAAAATGGCGAAAGAGAGAGAGAGAGAGAGAGAGAGAGAAATGGGGTTTAACGTCCACTCTACACAAACTAGGTCATTTCGGGACTAACATATGGTTTAATTTTATTTCAATAATTCGCTTGCGCGTAGGGGTCTTTAGCAGTGGGAGGAAACCCGAGGACACGGAGAAAACCCACGAGGTTGGACAGGCGACCCTACTCCTTGTCACGTACAACCGGTCTAAAATGGCGAAACAAGATAGTACGTAAAAAAACATTTAAACTTCTTAGAAAATGTATAGATACATTTTATTAATATAATAGTCGTGTATTGCATATTCCAGGCATCAAGTCCATCGTGTACAGAATTAGAGGTCGTTATGATGAATTGGTTAGGAAAGATGGTGTCATTACCTCCAGAATTTCTCTTCTCTTCAAAAGGTCACGGTGGTGGAGTCATCCAGGTAACGTATGAATTACATTCAAATAAAAGTGTTTCGCGCTTATTCAAGTCTCAGCTTTATTTGAAACTATTTCTTTATAAGATTAGAAATCTCTGTGCTCAGCATATCAACAAATAAAATGCTAACTGGAGACGAGTTGATAGATCATACAGATTATTTAGATACAACCGCATATTTTGATTATTTTTTCAGTCTACTGCTAGTGAAGTAACATTAACTTGTTTATTGGGAGCTAGAACTAAGTTTATACGCCAAATAAAGGGAGACGATCCTAACATGGAGGACGGTGTTATTATGTCTAAATTAGTCTGTTATTGCTCAGATCAGGTAAGGTTTATCCAGTTATGAAAAATACAAGTTACTATACTATTCAAAAAAAGTAGGGGATATTTGATTTTTAAGTGTTATTAAAGTCACCTAATGAAACTGACGAAGAAACAAATGACAAAATGAAATGAAGTTCACATTCATCGATTTATTCCAAATGATCGTTAGACTAAGTAAGGCACAGACTGACCATTATAAGGGTAAAATGATACCCGGGGTCAAACAGCAAAGTTACCACAGCATCACAACCAAGTCAGTAACGGGTAAATCCTCCTCTGTTTGCCAAACAAGCATTGATCCGACGTGGCATACTCCTAATGAGACGTCTAAGGTCATTTTGGTCCAGATTGTCCCATTCCTGTTGCAACGCAGCAGCAAGTTCTTGGACATTGGCAGGACGTTGTTGACGTTGACGTAACCTCTGTCCAAGCATGTCCCAGACATGCTCGATGGGGGAGAGGTCGGGACTCAGTGCTGGCCAAGGTAATGTGGTGATGTTCTGTTGTTGAAGGTAACCTGTAACGATCCTGGCCCTGTGACATCTTGCGTTGTCATCCTGGAAGATGAAACGGCGGCCATGACGTCGTGCGAACGGCACAACATGGACTGCCAAGATGTTGTCCCGGTATTACTGGCCTGTAACACGCCCTGCAACAACATGTAAAGCCGTTCTTCCAGCAACAGTGATGCCTCCCCACACCATAACAGAACCACCCCCAAATCGATCATGTCTGATGACGTTAACGTCTTGGAAGCGCTCGTTTCGACGACGCCACACCCTCCTACGTCTGTCCAAAAAATCAACAGTGAACCTTGACTCATCTGAAAACATCACATTGCTCCAGCGTCGATTATCCCAGTGTTGACGATCCCTACACCAACGACGCTTGCCTGAATGTGATGATCTCTCAAACAAGGGATCACGCGAGGACGTCGGGCGCGAAGGTGACCCCTATGCAGTCGATTCCGAATCGTCTGGCCACTCACTCTCACACCAGTGTCTGTTTGAAGACGAGCGCTGATCTGATTTGCTGTGATGACACGATTTCTCAAGGCCAAGGTACGGATAAATCGATCCTGGGCTTGAGTTGTCGCCCTTGGTCGACCTGAGCGTGGTCTGTCCTGTACAGATTGTGTATCACGGTATCTGGACCATAGCCTGCTTATGACAGACTGAGAAACATTCATCGTCCGCGCCACAACCGCCTGTGTTGTGCCGATCTGTAGCATGCCAAGGGCACGTAACCTTTCATTTTGGGTAAGCCGACGCATATCAAAATTTGTTTTCTGGTCACTAAAACAATTAAACTGATGTTTCCAATGACTGTAACATTCAAAGTCAGAGTCGTGCAAATCTTGGGTTGGACCCCCATGATGATCCCAAGCATCACCTGCATTCCATGCGGTAGCTATTGGTGCGTTTGGGCGTCACATGTAACTGGAAATGTTTCTTCTGTTAGGTTCTATAGTGACTTTTTTCGTAGTCATTTGCATATTTTAGTATTATGCCCCCAAAATCAAATATCCCCTACTTTTTTTGAATAGTATATTTTGATTAAAGTTAATTATGACGCTATAGCAAGATCCTTATCTGTCTTGCCAAATCTATATTACATTACGGTACATTCAAAGGACCTTTTGATATGTATGCCCTACATCTGCCACTGTTGGAAATCCCAGTAAGTACACTGTTAGTTATCATTGTTTTTATGGGTTCTTGGTGGTCTTTGTTGTAGACCTATTTATCCGTAGCGAAGACCGGATTACTTTTCGGAAATGCTTATATGTATACTGTTAATTATTATCAATGTTTTTTTGTGTTCTTTGTTGTAGGCTCATTCTTCAGTAGAGAAGGCTGGATTAGTCGGTGTTGTTAAATTAAGAATATTAGAATCAGATGAAAAGGGTTCTTTCCGTGGTGCCGCATTAGAAACAGCAATAAAAACTGACAAGGCTAACGGACTAGTGCCATTTTTCGTAAGATTTTTACATTTTCTGTCGGATGTTCGTGGGTGGGCCATACCCTTTATTATTGATGACACCAACCTCTACTTATAGCTAGGTTTCAGAAGTTTGTCATAAGGTAATCTCTATGACCAGCAGCCGTAATAACATCGTCTAGGTTTCCTAATTATATAAGTACAATACAATTTTTTTAGCTCGATGACCCCCCCCCCCCCCATGTATGTATCATCTAATCTAGATAGTGACGTGATCTAATGTTTGCTTTTGACTTAGTGACATGGTTAATTTTAGGTTTTTATAACCTTTATGATTTATTTTAGGTTTGTGTAATCTTTATAATTCATTTTAGGTATGTGTAATCTCTAATAATAATGTTAGATTTGTGTAATCGTTATCATTAATTTTAGTTTTGTGTAATGTCTAAGATTAATGTCAGGTTTGTGTAACCGTTATAATTAATTTTAGATTTTAGGTTTGTGTAATTGGTATGATTAATTTTAGGTTTGTGCAACCATGATTTATTTTAGGTTTATGTAATATTTATGATTAATTTTAGGTTTATGTAATATTTATGATTAATTTTAGGTTTGTGCTACTCTTGGTACGACAGGATGTTGTGCTTTTGATAATATAAAAGAATTAGGACCCATTTGTAAGTATTTGCATTTTCTCCTTCATTACAGATTTTGTATGTCGGTAAACACAAATAACGATTAAACAGCTCGTCCGATCTCACTGAGATTTGTAATTTCGTCGTTTACTGCCCTAACTGAAACAGATTTGGACTGAACGATCTTTCTACCCATGTACCATTAATGAATTATCCAGACGGAATAAGACACGAGATCAGTTCAAAATCTGGAATCTAAAACGGAATTAAATGGGCTGATACAGACGGACATACGCCATGCAGTGTGCTCTGATAGTAATTTTGCAATACTGTTTATTCTTATTTCGATTTTGAACTGTCCCGTGATCTTTAACGTTCTTTTTCCCCAACCTCATTCCTGAATCATTTATAAGAGGACATTTTTTTCTTAGTCAAACCTCTAGATATTGTCCCATGCCAGGAGCTCTGTCCTGTACCTCTGCCAAACCGGAAAATCCCGAGGAACTTTCTCGACGAAAACCGGGATCAAACCCTTACTCACTGAGCCAAGGTTACATTCTTTAAAATGCATTTTCTACAAAAAGAATTATTTCATTTCAGGTGAAAGAGAAGGTATATGGTTGCATATAGACGCTGCCTATGCTGGAAGTTCTTTTATTTGTCCTGAATTTAGACCACTGTTAGATGGAGTAGAGGTTTGAAGAATTTCATATTCTGAAAACTATATAATAATTGTGGGATAACTGCGATAAGGAGCTATGGAAACAGGACACCGAAACAGGGCCAGAATTGACAATAATAACGATAACAAACACTTAAATATGTTTTTAACTTTTGAAATTAAACAAAACTTACTTACGTGTATTCTGAAATTCAAATAACTTATTTACTGGTGGCAAAATCCTGGATAATTCATTCAAATACCGATTAATTAAATGATTAGAATACTAGATAAATGGTACCAATGGTACCAATGTTACCATTAATTAAAGGATAAGAATACTAGATAAATATTACCAATGGTACCAATGTTACCAATGTTACCAATCTTACCATTAATTAAAGGATTAGAATACTAGATAAATGTTACCAATGTTACCAATGTTACCAATCTTACCATTATTTATTACAATACTATGCATCGTATGGACCCCTTTGTTCAGCTGGGCCTTTTGCTCCATGGCAAATAAAACCCATCTGCGGCGTCCTCGCCCTTTCCTTTGCCATATGCATGTGCAGATTTTGCGTTTATCAAGGACAACATTGACAATCCCTCATTTCAAAAATTGTGTAATGTAATAAATATCCCACTTTTTACTGTATTTAATATTGTACATTATTGAAATATTAATGGCCACATTATAGTCCCAAATTCAAAAGCGGATTAAAAAAAAGTATATAAAAAATATAATATGAGATTTACAATCAACGTAGAAATCTTAAAACTATGTTCCATCGAGCATGATAATTTTACCTATTCGATTCACACAACTCAGGTATAGCCAGGAATAATTAAATGATACTAAGCTCATAGTCAATTAAAGAATTACACAATTCTTAAAGGGTAGATTATACAATTCATAGTTCGGATTAGATTAAAATTTTCCAATCTATTGTTATAAGTTAAAGATTTCGAATGTCCTGGAGACACAGGCTATCTTTAAAATTGAGAAATTCTAAATCTTCAAAGTAAAAGTTATAGGATACTTAATCTTTATAGGTTATAGTATTATGTATACATTACATTTTTTTTTCATTTTTTTCAGTATGCAATGTCGTTTAATTTTAATCCTCATAAATGGTTACAAGTCAACTTTGATTGTTCAACTCTCTGGTTAGTATTGTTTAATAGTTTCTGGAGATGTCCATATTCCCGAAGCAATGCTTTTCATTAACATTGTCACGTGTAAGATAACAATTAGGGTCTATTTCATTTTTTAATATTGACACCTCCATGTGCAGATTTTTCGATAAACCAATCATATTTTGTTATTTAAAAAAAAAGAAGAAAAAACCTCGTCCGTAAATAGCTTGATTTGACTTCTGAAAGCTATTTTCCACTTTACAAGCTCGTGTATAAACAATGCGATATCATACCATTTTAGTCCCAAAGTTACGCAAGTGTGCCAAGTGGTCGACAAGTCTCTCCATTAATCTTTTTTATCATTTGATTTTATTGCGATAATAATTTCAGTTTTAAAAATGATTTATATATTCAGGGTAAAAGACAGTCGTTTATTATCTGAAGCTTTTGTAGTTGACCCTCTTTATCTAAAACATGAAAATGAAGGTGCTATGCCGGATTACAGGGTAAGTTTTATTAAATATGCCTTTAGTCATTTGTGGTGGGGTCACTCACAACCCTCTTTAGATTTGGTTGTATGGGGTACTGGTATTTCATGAAATAGTTTGAAGTAAAAAAAAAAAACCCAAAAAAAACCCAACAACCCAAAATAGCATAATCGCTTGTAATCAGCTATAGTCCAAAACGCCACACTATGGGAAGAACAACAATATGTTCCTGATACCTTAATCACGTTTTATGTGATGCGTCACACCGACCACTTCCGGGGATTTTTACCATTTATTAAAATACAATGACACCCCGCATTTTAATTGTATTATATTAGGAGTTTATTTTCATATGTAGACGGTTTTATATTTCATAATTGCATGTGAGGTTTAACTCTATTTTAGCACTGGCACATTCCATTGGGGCGACGTTTCCGGTCTCTGAAGCTCTGGTTTGTTCTGAGATTATTTGGACAAAGGAAACTTCAAGAATCTATCGTAAAGGTAATGTTTTTATACGCCCATATTTTCACGTGAACGTATTATTCCGTAGCCCCTGTCCGTCCGTCCACAATTTGTTTTTGGACACTCACAGGTCACAATTTTGATCCGATTTTGATGAAACTTTAAATGTATGTTTATATCTCAAAGATCTCGGTTCCTTTTGATAATGGCGCATATCCGAAGTGACTTCCTGGATTATGGCCACTGATTGTTCGAAAAATCGCATTTTTAGCTTGTGACCCCGCTAGAAGTCACAATTTGTATTCAATTTAAAAAAAACAAAACGTTTAAATATATCACCGTTACATATCAACGAAGGTTGTGTTCGAATTTCGTAAATATCAGACCCAAACTGCCGGACAAAATGGCCGCTCCTTGTACGCAAAATAATAGTGTAAAATTATGTAATACCAAGGTTGTGGACACACTAGAGGCCACAATTTTGATCCGATTTTAATGAAACTTTAAATTTATGTTTATATCACAAAGATCTCAGTTCCTGTCAATAATCGTGCATATCCGAATGTAACTTCCTGGATTATGACCACCCCTGATTGTTCGAAAAATCGCATTTTTAGCGTGTGGACCCGCTAGAAGTCACAATTTGTATTCAATTTTAACAAACGTTTCAATATATCACCGTTACATATCAATAAAGGTTGAGTTCGAATTTCATAAAAATCTGACCTAAACTGCCGGACAAAATGGCCGCTCCTTGTACGCAAATAGTGTAAAAGTATGTAATACCAAGGTTGTGGACACTCTAGAAGTCACAACGTTCATCCGATTTTGATGAAACTTAAAATGTATGTTTATAATCCAAAGATCTTGGTTCCTTTCGATATTTGCGCATGTCCGACCGTAACTTCCTGGATTATGGCCCCTGATTGTACGGAAAATCAGGCTTTTAGCTTGTGGATCCTCTAGCTAGAGGTCATAATTTTTATTCTATTTTTAAAAAAAACGTTTGAATGTATTACCGTCACATATCAATGACGATTGAGTTCGAATTTCGTGAAAATTGGAACGAAACTGCCTAACAAAATGGCTGCGCCTTGTGTGCAAATAATGTAAAAGTATGTAATACCAAGGTTTTGAAACTTAAAATATATCTCTGTATATCCCAAATATCTCAGTCTCTTTCGATATTTGCGCATTTCAGACCGTAACTTCCTAGTTAATGGCCCTTGATTATACGAAAAATCGCCCTTTTTTTTAGCTTGTTCTCTATCGATCTCTTGCAAAATGTGAGCATATCCTGCCTGGCAACCGCTGGTTTTCTTTCTGACATTGATGTGACATATTACTAAAATTACTTGCTGACAAGAGAATATCCGATACAATATTCAGACAACATAATACGATGATACCCATGTATGTAGGCTTGATTCAACATGTTTACATGGATATAGATAGGAATTAATTTATAGATATATATTCCTTCAGCAGACAGTCGATATATAACTCATTTCAATTCAAACGTAAAGTAGTCCAGAAAATAAACAACATTTTGCCGAACTATTCCAACCTCATAGATTATTTTTGTCATTTGCTCACAAATAGGCGTCACTACAGGCGTCTACTGAACGTCTACTAACCATTGCATGAATCAGCAGACACGGTAGGCAATAGTTCAAATAAACGATGGGTTGAAAGATACTCACTGCAGCAGGAAGTGACTGTACAGGTATTTCTATCATCTTATAAAATGTGTTTATAATTACAGGATGTCAACTTAGCAAAAGAGTTTGAAAAATTAGTTCTAGCAGACACAAGGTTTGAAGTTACGTCAGAGGTTAAGATGGCACTTGTTTGTTTTAAACTAAAGGTAATTTATTCTGAAAGGTTGTAGGGGTGGGATTGCGGATTAACAACAACACCCTCACCCCCACCATCACCAAAAATATATTTTAAAAAATTCAAATGCCATGCCATGCCAAGACGTTGTCACTCTCAAAAAGGCGTGGAAAAGACTAGTTTAGTTCGGGGCTAACACCCGCTTCCACATAGTGTGATATCGCAGTACAGCAAGAGGACGAGAGTTTATTTTCACAGGCACTTGAAGGGATTAAAATAAAACTTCTTACAACTGCTTGACTATATATTATAGTATATAAGAAGGTATTTCAGCCGCCATCTTTGTTTTCACGTCTTCAAGGCATTACGTCTGCTAACATCTCACAATACTCACTAGTTCTAACACTACCCGTCGTTTTTATTGCCAGCGAGACCTTATTTGATCATTATTCAGCTTCCGATGTAATTAAATTGACCATTTAACAGCGTTATTAATTACAAATCAAACGTGAAGCGCTGTCACTTGCCGAAATTCGTCTTCATCAGCCCGGAAATAAGTTTAGTTTGTAGCAGTCTGTATCACCCAGTCCCTCATAAACCTATCCGTTACTCGAAATTTGGTCGGTAAATGATCGAGCCTACGAAGAAATAAAAACAACGGGTAGTGTTAGAACTAGTGAGTATTGCGAGATGTTAGCAGATGAAATGCCTTGAAGACGAGAAAACAAAGATGGCGGCTGAAATACCTTCTTATATACTATAATATATAGCCAAGCAGTAGTAAGAAGTTTTATTTTAATCCCTTCAAGTGCCTGTGTTTATTTTCTATATACCGAGTCGTCCTATCCAGCATTCAGTCTAAAATATTTTTTGTATATTACAGGGTACAAATGAGAAGAATGAAATGTTATTAAAATTGATAAACGATGATGGTAGAATACATATTGTACCTTCAACAATGAAAGGAACATATTATCTAAGATTCGCCATTTGTGCTTCAACTACGACAATAGATCACGTGATATTTGCCTGGAATGTTATACAAGAACTGACCAACAAGGTTTAACTGATGTGATACTTAGAAAACAAGAATGATTGTCGTTAGATATAAAAGTTAAAAAAAAAATCTGCTCATTTTCATAGATTCTAGGCTACAAGGGTGATTCTTCTTTGAAGGTGTCGAAAGTAATCATTGAGACAAAATCTCAATGAAATGATATAATGCCTCGATACATGTTTTAAGTATTGATTATTTTAAATTTTATTTTTTGTACAAAATTAAGGCCGTGAAATGAGACATTCGGGCATCGAGTAATAAGTAATAAAGATCAGATTTATATACTACCCCCGCCCCCCTGTCAAAAAAGAGAAGAAATTTGAATGATTTAATTACTCATAATCTGGTTTATTATTAAATATTTAAGAATGCTCATGTATGTACGGAATCTAAGCTTCAAGAGTGATTGTGATTTGATAGGCTGTACTAATAACGTGGAATAATGTGTTCATTTAGTAGATCTAGTGTTTATTTGAACTAAAAATATAAAAGAAATAGCGGTCTACATTAGTGTTTTATTATTAGATATTGCTCTCAATCCGGGTACCTTCTCTTTCAACGCCCAATCTGATGAAACCATAATCAAAGGTACCCGTAGCCACTACCCCAAATGAATTAATAGTAAAGCTTCCGTCAATTATTTCAATTTTATTGCCGGTACCATATTCAATGAAAAACAACTCATACTTGAGATTAGGGACGATGTTCGCTACTCCATTTTGATCCAAGTCGTCGCTAAATGTCACGGTACCTAGATCCACGGATACAGCATCTACTAAATCTAGAAATTACAATTAAAAAACCTTCTCAGAGACTGAATTGTACAAATATAATGTATAACAATTTATGAAACTATGAATACACCAAATATAACAGTTTAGATAACTTTCTATACCAAATAGATATGTAAATTTGCATAACTTATACAAATACATATTTATATCATTGTATAAATTGCACAAATAAAGCGAATAATGTTGAGTACGTTGTCGATGCTTTAAGTACATACTACAATATTCCTGATCGTACTTACTCATTAACATAAAAGACACAAATTATTATCTATAAAACTAAACAAATAAGCGCGTACAAAATGAAATGAAACTGGGTTTAACGTCCTACAGTTCTCCTCAGACTGGGCTAATGAGGACGGGCATACGCCATGCAGTGTTATGAGGGAAAATCTTCCCGGATAGGGGCTCAACGTCCTGCTATTTTTGAATTCCAACTGTCAAGGTTTCTTTTACGTGCATGCCAATGTGTACACGTCTGGAAAAATCCCTTTCTCTGCCAACATTGTGATCGAACTCGTGACCTCACCTCCAGGTTACTCACTGAGCCACCATGGTTCCGAAACAAGCGTGTGCGTCCTGAGGTATGGACGAAAACGACGCCCACTTTAGTTCTGAGTAGTTCTGACATCTAATGGTTAATTTATGTTTTACCTAAATGGCTGAACTCCCAGATGATGAAACTTGCCTATATATACGTTTTATTGGTGCAGAGTCTTAGCATTGCCGGATTAAGGATTTTCCCGAAAAATTAGACATTGTCCCAAAAATGACACAAAATGACTTTAAATAGCAAAAGAATGCATCCAAGTTAATCCGCAAAGTCAAATCTCAAAATTATTTGTCTTCGGAGTGTGCAATTTTATTTTAATTTAGTTTACTCTAAAGCAATGTGTGTTTCAGATACAATACGAAGAACGGTGTATTTTGATGTAACAAATGTAAGTATATTCCAAGAAAAATACGCGGACCTTCTAAATTGCAAAATAAATCTACCCGAAAAATGTTTCTTAAATGGGTAGCTAGGCGCATAGCCTGTCAATACTTACTGGACATTAGCCATAAGAAGAGAAATATAACGGCTACCCGAGCCATGATGTCGTTAAGACAATCTACACAATTACCATTTGCAGTGTTCAACTAATCTAACATTATATCATATAGATGTGGCACGTTTAAGCTCCAAGGCCTGAACTGAGCGCATGAACATGAAAGATGTATATATTTCTTAGAATTCTTTCTCAAGTTTGAATCTCTATTCATTGTTTTCATAATAATATGACGTGTACAAATTCGCCTGGGAAATTACGAATAAAAATTGTGTTTAGGACACGGTATTGTTTTCGACAGTCGATTATTAATATTATTCATTTTCTTATTGGAAATGTTTAAAAGGAACAGTATACAATTTTTGAGACTGCATTGTTCATAGTACTTGAAACTCGATTTGTATTATGGTATATCAAACTATAATTGTAATAAGGTAACTTTTGGGATCATTAACCTTACGTATATTAGGACTTCTTTATGCTCGGGATGCGTAGCTCTAACACGTCGAAGCACAATGCAGCTCACAATATTAAAACTTTATTATTCCAGAAAAATTAATCTATAAGAAACATAAGTAATAATTTTTAACGAACTTGGTTTATTAACGAATGAACGTCAAAATACAATAAAGATATTAAAATCACAATTAAAACAAATAATTATTTGAACTGTGTTTATTAACGAATGAAGTAATAATTATTCGAACTGGGTTTATTAACGAATGAAGTAAAAATTATTCGAACTGGGTTTATTAACGAATGAACATAATTGTCCGTTTTTCGTCTGTTATATTCATACCCAGTCGCCATCACCAACTTACTATCTTAATTATAATTAACCTACAAATATTTGAACATATATATGATAAAAATTAAACATATAATACAAAAATGGGATATAAATTACATACATGTATTTACGTTATTTAGACGTAACGCAAATATGCCATACTCATCTGCTAGAAATTTTTGAAGGGATTTACCGCCTAAATAAGCCACAAAAATCTTCTACAAAATTTGTAGAAGGATTTACGAATAAATATGTCACGATCATCTTCTACACATTTTGAAGAGGTTTACCACCTAAATATGTCACAGTCATCTGCTAGAAATTTTGAAGGAGTTTACTGCCTAAATATGTGACAATCATCTGCTAAAGATTTTGAAGGGATTTATCACCTAAATATGCCACAATTATACGCTAGAAAGTTTGAACGGGTTTACCGCCTAAATATGTCACAATCATCTGCTAGAAATTTTGAAGGGATTTACCGTCTGGCAGCATTTCAGGCACTGATCGTCGAGATAACTGGAGCTTACCGCCTGTCGCCAAATCACTAGTTTATCCGACCAGAGGGGAAAGTGTCAAACGAACGGAGTGAGTGAATCAAAGTGAAATGAATATTTTCGCCACGATATTTTGAGAAATAGACTGCCGGAAATTCAGCCTGGCAGTATTTCAGAAACTGGTCGTCGAGATAAATAGAGCTAACCAGATACTGCCTGGCGCCAAATCACTAGTGTAATACAATATCATTTGGGATCTAAATTTTATTATTGTATTTTGAATTCATATTTTAAATTATATTTTTCATTTGTAACTCATTTTGGACATGTGACAGATTAATTGTAAAATGTAATCTGCATCAGGTGTGTGAGGATTATTTCATAGTATTATGTAAGATATAATGGGTTACCCAAACAATGTATAGCCGGCTTGTCTTAGACAAGTATATTATGATATAAGGTTTAGGTAACAAGCATTAACACATATTGTCTAGAGATAAGATGTGTGAATCTTAATAATTACTTTTCATTGTTCTGATTACTAATGGTATTAACTATGGCGTGCCTTAACCGATATAAAAAGCCTAGTTTACAAGCAGGCAAAAGGAGGTACAAAAGGAGGGACAAGAGAGACCCGTAGAGGCTGGGAGGTCTTCCGGACCTCGGGAGAGGGTCTGCCCTCGACACCAGGCAGAGGGGTCCTGTGAGGCCGAGGGGAAGCAGCTATAGCTAGACGTAACTTTACCCAACCAAATGATGTTATTATGTACCTGTAAATATGTTATCCAGTATTAAAATATCTTTTTAATAAATAAGAGTTATGTATTATATCACACTAGCTTATCCGAACAGAGTGGGATGTGTCAAACGAACGAACAGAGTGAAGGAATATTCTTGCGGCGTTGAACCAATACCCAAAATACTTTGAGGATCGTACAAAGCACTTCTCAAGTGGTTTACGTGTGATTGTTTAAAGCATTTTCGTCTTCTACGTTAAGAAGCCTGAATTGAGGAAAATACGATAACCCTAAAGGTTATACAAGAGAATTTTTTGTTTTGAAAAATGAGGCGTTAGAGGTTCAAATATTCCAAGAAATCATGATCGGTTGTACATCGACATTACCGAACAGCCGGTTACATCAAACGACATAGTTTTTACAAACTGTAACAAGCCCGAGAGTGTACTGATGCGTTTAACCTTTCCTAGAACTGGTGAGTTAAAATTCGTAATGCTTAATGGAATGCACAGCATTATCTCGGAAAGGGAAGTGGCGGTTTATGTGGTTAATGCAATTCGTGGTGTAATAATAACGGCAAAGGATGGGAGGATTGAACCAGGCGACGAAGTATTCTTAACAGCATCAACAGATAGCAGTGCAGATTTCCCCTTTGGTTCCGGAATACACAATCTAACTTTAACCTCTTGCCAAGTACCCAGGGAGAAACGGTTGATTTAAGATGCATTTTACCAAATGCGGGAGAGATAACCGTATTCCTTACCCTCGATACCGGTGCAGAAAGTAAGACTTACAATCACACCTTCCGTGTTTACGATACATTAAACATAACCCTTAAACCGTCCAGTGACTATCTTATCGTGGGTCATCAACCAAACATGGAATTCCATAACCTACCTGACTTCGGGTTTAATTACAAAATAAATTTCGGGGAAGGAACACGCATGGAATCTATGGATGGAAGTCTAATCCTTCAAAAATTTACCAGCAGTGATATTCCCACACCTCTTCTAAATTACAACGATATTGGGGTGTACTATATTACTATAGAGGCTAGCAACCCATTATCGTCCTGGAGCTCAACCTCTAATATTTCGGTTCGGTATGCGCTGCCAGATTCTTACATAACTCATAACATCAATGGCTTGTTGTTGGTCCCTCCCGGAGATGTTACATTCCGTGTATACGCCCTTGGAGGAGTTACAGTACCTCAACCAACAAACGTTAGTTGTGTTTTTGATTGGGGAGACGGAAACACTACTGAAATATCCATGGTCCTCTTTAATTTTGATTCCCAAGGACCAGGCTTGACTTTTAATTACACCTACACCACCGAGGATATTATGCATGTGGATATATTTTGTACGAATTCTGTCTCAAACATTTCAATGCAAACCTGGCTAGATGCTCGTTTTATGAATGTTGAAATCATCGAACCTAACCATGAAATAGTTCTTCTGATGAACAACACGGTGCCTGTAAGATTTGATATTTCTTATACTATAATAAACTTAACAGTTCCTCCACCAGATCTCTTTTACACTATGCTGTTCTTTCCTACCGAAGATGACACCCTGTCACAAATGGTGCATTTAAATGATTCAATAATATACACTGAACGCAAAGTAATGCCAATCAATA